TTTTGGGTTGGTTTTGGGGTGGTTGGTGGGTTGTGGGGGGGGGGGGGGGGGGGGGGGTGGGGTGGTGGTGGGGGTGTGGTGGGGGGGGGGGGGGGGGGTGGGGGGTGGGGGGTGGGGGGGGGTGGGGGGTTGGGGGGGTTTTTGGGGGGGTGGTGTGGGTTGTGGTTGGGGGGGGTGGGGGTGGGGGGTTGGGGGTTGGGGGTTGGGGGGGGGGGGGGGTGTTGGGGTGGGTGTTGGGTGTTGTGTGGGGGGGTTTGGGTGGGGGGGTGGTGGGGGTTGGGGTGGGGGTGTGTTGTGGTTTTTTTTGTGGTGGGGGGTGGGGGGTTGGGGGGGGTGGGGGGGGGTTTGGGTGGGGGGTGGTGTGGGTGTGTGGGTGGGGGGGTGGGGGTGTGGTTGTGTGGGTGGTATTTGTTTTTTGTTTGTGGTGGTGTGTGTTTTGGTGGGGTGGGGGTGGTGGTTTTGGTGTTTGGGGGGGTGTGTGGGGGGGTTTGGGTGGGGGTGGTTTGGGGGGGGGGGGGGGTGGGTGGGTGGGGTGGGGGTGTTGGGGTGGGTGGGGTGGGGTTGGGGGGGGGGGGGGGGGGTGGTGTTTGTGTTGGTGTTTGTGGGGGGGTGTTTGGGTGGGTGGGTGGGGGTTGGTGGGGGGGGGGTGTGGGGTGGGTGGTGGTTGTGTGTTGGGGGTTGGGGGGTTTTGTGGGGGTTGGGTGGTGTTGTTTTTTGTGTGGGGTGTTGGGTGTTGGGGGTGTTTGGTGGTGGTGTGGTGGTTGGTGTGGGGGGGGGGGGGGGGTTTTGTGGGGGGGGGGGTGGTGGGGTTTGTGGGGGGTGGGGGGGGTGGTGTGGTGTGGGGGGGGGGGTGGGTGTGGGGGGGTGGTGTGTGTGGTTGTGGTGGTGGGGGGGGGGGGGGGTGGGGGTGTGTTTTGGTGGGGGTGTGTGGGTGTGGTTGTGGGGTGGGTGGGGGGTGGTGTTGGGTGGTTGGGTTTTTGGTTTGTTGGGTGGGTGGTGTGGGTGGGGGTGGGTGGGGTGTTTGGGTGGTGTGTGGGGGTGTTGGGTGGGTGTGGGGGTGTTGGGGTGGTGGGTGGTGTTGTGGTGGGGGTGTTGGGGGGGGTTGGGGGGGGTGGGTGTGGGGGGGTTGGGGGGTGGGGGGGGGTTGTGGTTTTTGGGGTGGTGTTGGGTGGGGGGGTTGGTGGGGGGTTGGGGTGGTGGGTTGTGGTGGGGTGGGGGGGGGGTTGTGTGTGTGTTTGGTGTGTTGGTTTTTGTTGTGTGGGGGGGGTGGGTGGTTGGGGGGTGTTGTGGTGTGGGTTGGGTGGTGGTTTGGGGGGGGGGGGGGGGGGTTTGTGGGGGGGGGTGGGTGGGGTGTTGGTTTGGGTGGGGGGGGTGTGTGGTTTGGGGGGGGTGGGGTGGGGGGGGTTGGGGTTTGGGGGGTGGTGTTGTGGTGGGGTTGTTGTTGGGGTTGGGTGGTGGGTTGTGTTGGGGGTTGTTTGGGTGGTGGGTGGTGGGGGGGGTGGTGGGGGGTTTGTGGTGGGTGGGGGGGTGTGGTGGTGGGGGGGTGGTGGGGGTGGTGGGTTTGTGGGTGGTGGTGGGGGGTGTGTGTGTGGGGGTTGGTGGGGGGTGTTTTTTGGGTGGGGGGGGGGGGGGGGGGGGGGGGGGGGGGGTTGGTGGGGGTGGTTGTGGTGTGGGGGGGTTTTGGGTGGGGGGGGTGTGGGGGGGGGGGGGGGGGGGGTGGGGGGGGGGTTGGGGGGGTGGGGGTGGTTGGGTTGGGGTTGGTGGGTGGGGGTTGGGGGTGTGGGTGTGTTGGGTGGTGTGTGGTGTTGTTTTTTGTTTGGTGGGGGGGGGGGGGGGGGGGGGGGGGGGGTGGGGGGGGGGGGGTTGTGTTGGGGGGGTGGGTGTGTGTGTTTTTGGGGGAGGTGGGGGGGGGGGTATGTGTTGTGGGGGGGGGGGGGGGGGGGGGGGGGGGGGGGGGGGTGGGGTTTTTGGGGGGTGGTTGGTGGTTTGTGGGGGGGGTGGGGGGGTGGGGGTTGTGTGTTGGGGTGGGGGGTTGTGGGGGTGGGGGGTTGGGGGGGGGTTGGGTGTTTTGGGGTGGGGGGGGGGTGTGGGGGGGGGGGGGGGTTGGGGTGTGGTTGGGGGGGGTGTGTGGGTTGTTTGGTGTTGTTGTGGGTGTGGGGGTTGGTGTTGGGGTTGTGGTGGTTTGGTTGGGGTTTGTATGTTTGGGGGGGGGTTTTTTGTGGGGTTGGGTGGTGGTTTGTATGGTTGGTTGTGTTATGTTGGTGGGGGTGGGTGGTGTGTGTTGTTGTGGGGTGGGAGGTTGGGTGTGTGTGGGGTGTGTGGGGGTGTGGGTGTGGGGGGGGTTTTGTTGTTGGGGTTGGTGGGGGTGGGTGGTGTGGGGGGGGGTTGGTGGGGGTGTTGGTGGGTTGTTTTTATGGGTTTGGGTGGGATGTTGGGTGTGTGTGTTTGTGTTGGGGTGGTTTTTTTTTTAGGGTTGTGTTTGGGTGGTTGTGGGGTTGTGGTGTTTGTTGGGGGGGTGGGTGTGGGGGTTGGGTGGAGGGGGGGGTTTGGTGGGGGGTGTGTTGGGGGTGGTGGGGGGGTGGGTATTTGGGTGGTTGTGGTTGTTTTTGGGGTTTTGTGGGGGGGGGGGGTGGGTTGGGTGGTGTTTTTGTTGTGGGGTGTGGTTGTGGGGTGGTTTTGTTGTTGATGGTGTATTGGATTGGTTGGGGTTTATAGTTGTTGGTGTGTTTTATGTAGGGGTGTTTAGTTGTTGGGGTGTGTTGATGATGGAAGGGGGTTATTTTTAGAGGGTTGGTGTTTGTTTGGTATGGGGAGGTGTAGATGTATGGGGTGTGGTGTGTTGTTGGTGGTTTTGTGGTTGTGTTGGTTTTTATGGGTTGGGGAGTTATATGTTGATGGAGTGATATGATGATGGGGGGTGGTTATTGTTGATTGGGGTGTTTTAAATGATGGGGATAGTAATTTAGGGGGGGAGTATGATGATGGGATGGGGAGGTAAGGGGTATGTTGATGTGATTGTAGTTGGAAGGGTAGGTTTTGTTGTAATGGAGATGATGTGGTTGGGGGATGGGATGAAAGTTGTAGGGAGTAATGAAGATGGAGGGGAAGTTGAAGGGGTGAAGGGGGGGGGGGTGTGGGATTGGATAAGGGGGGGGAGGGGTGGTGGGTGTGGATGGGGTTGTTTTTTTGGGTTTGAGGTTATAGGAGGAGGGTGGGGGGGTTATAGTTTGTTTTGTTTGGGAGGGGGGGTGATGGGAGGGGAAGGAGTATGAGGGGGTATGGGGAAGGGTGTGATTGAGAGGGGGGTAAGAGGAGGATTAATAGGTATGTTGGAGTTGGGTATAGTTGTTTGTTTTTTTGATATTGGTATAGATGAGTGGGGTGGGGGTTGGGTGGTTTGGGGGATGTGGTTGGGTGTTTTTGTTTGTTGATGTGGATGTGAGATGGGAATAGAGGAGGGGATGAGAGTGAGGGGTTTTGAGAGGTTTGTGGGTGTGTTGGTTGTGATGGGATGTGTGGGGGGGTGTGTGTTGGAGTGTTGTTTGGTGAGTGTGGGGGTGAGTGTGTGGTGTGTGTGGTGTGTGTGTGGTGTGGGTGGTGGTGTGTGTGTGGGTTGTTGTGGGGTGTGTTGGGTGTGTGAGGTGTGTTGTGTGTGTGTGGGGTGTGTGTGGGGTGAGTGTGGGGTGTGTGTGTGTTGTTGTGGAGAGTGAGTGGTTTAGTGTGGTTGTGTGTGGGTGTGTGTGAGAGTGTGGGTTGTGTGGGGGGGTGTTGTGTGAGTGGTGTGGTGTGTGAGTGGTTGTGTTGGTGTGTTGTGTGTGTGTGGGGTGTGTGTGGTATGTGAGGTGATGAGTATGAGGGTGTGAAGGTAAGTGTGGGAGATGTATATTTATGTGGTTGGTGTGGTGGGTGGGGGGGGGGGGGGTTTGTTTTTGGGGGGGGTGGGGGTGTTATGGGGTGTTTGGGGGTTGTGTGTAATGGGGAATAAAGTGGGTTTTGGTTTGGGTATTGGTATTGGGTTGGGTGTATGTTGGTGGTGGTGGGGATGGGTGGGGGTGGGGGGGTGGGGTGTTTGGGTGTTTTGGGTGGTGTTGGGTGTGTGGGGGTGGTTGGGGGGTGGGTGGGGTTGTGGGGTGGGGTGGGGAAGGTGTTTGGGGTGGGTGGGGTGTTGTGTGGGGGGTTGGTGGTGGTGGGGGGTTTTTGGGGGGGTTGGTTGGTTGGGGGGGTGTGTGTGGGGGGTGTGGGGGGGTGGGGGGGGTTTTTGTGGGTGGGTTGTGGGTGGGGGGAGTGTGGGGGGGGGGGTGTGGGGGGGGGGGGGAGAGGGGATTTTTTGTGTGTGGGTTGTTTGATTGGTGTGTTTTTTTTTGTGGTTGGATTTTAGAATTAGGTTTGAGTTGTTTTTTGGTTATTTGGTGTTTGTTGTGTGGGGGGGGGGGGTTTGGGGGGGATTGGGGATTAGGTGTTGGGGGTTAGGGTTGGGTGGTGGTGGGGGGGTAGGGAGTTGGGTTGGGGTTGGATGTTGGTTGGTGTTAAGTTTTTTTAGGGGGTTGGGTTGGGGGTGGGTGGGGGGGGGGGGTGTTGGTTGGGGATGGGGGGGGGGGTGGTTTGGGGGGTTTTTTTTTTTGTTTGGTTGGGTGGTGTGGTGGGTTTGGGGGTGGGGGGTTTTTGGGTATTTTTTGGGGGTTTGTGGGTGGGTTTGTTGGTTGGTGGGGGGGTGGGGGTTGGAGGTGTTTTTTGGTATTAGTGGGTGTTTGGTGGGAGTGTTTAGGTGTGGGGTGTTGGGTTGGGGTTTGGTGTTGTGTTTGGGTTGTGATTTTGGGGAAGGGGTTTATGATGGGTGTGGGTGTTTTTATAGTGGGGGGGGGAATTGTTATGGGGGTTGAGGTGGGTGGGGGGTTGGGGGGGGTGAATGTGTGGGGGGTAGGGGGGGTATTAGGGTTGGGGTGAGAGTAGAGTAGAATGGGGAATATTATTGTTTGGTTTTGGATGGGTGTTGTTTTTTGATGTGGGGTGTTGGTGTGGTTGGTTTGTTTGTTTTGGGGGTGAGGGGGGTGAGTGGGTTGGGGGGGTGAGGGTGGTTTGAGTATGGTATATTATAGGGGTGGGGGGTGGGGGAATAGATTGATTATTTTGTGGGGGGGTGGGGTGGTGGTTGGGGGGGGGGTGGGTGGTGGGGGGGGGGGGTGTGTAGGGTGGGGGAGTGGGTGGGGTTTGTGTGGTGTGGGTTGTGGGGGTGTTGGGGGGGGGTGGGGTGGTGGGGGGGGGTGGGTGTGAGGTGTGTTGGGTTTATTGGGTGGGTGTTGTGGGGGTGGGTTTTGGGGTGGATTTTTGGTGTGTGGGGGGTGGGGGGAGATGGTTGGGTTTGTTTGTGTAGTTTGTATGTTGGGTTGGGTTGGGTGGTGTTATGAGGGTTGAGGTGGGGTTTTGGGTGTGGGGTTTGTGGGTTTGTGGGTGGTGAGTGGGGTTGTTGGGGGTTTTTTGGTTGTGTGTATGGTGGGTTGTGGGGGGTTGGTGGTTGTGGGGGGGGGTGTATTTTGGTTGGTGGTTGGGGGGGTGGGTGGTTTGTGTTGTGTGGGATTGGGTATTGGGGTGGTGTTTTGGGGGTGGGTTTGTGTTTAGGTGGTGGGGGGGGGTTTGGGTTGTTGGGGGTTGTTTTGTGGGGGTTGATGGGAGTGTTAGTATTTGTTAGGTGTTTAGGGGTTTGGGGAATTAGTAGGGGGAAGGGGGTGTGGGTAGATGTTTTTTTTGGGGAGTTTTTTAGTGGAGTTTTTTGGTATATAGGAAGGGGGGTGGGGGTGTGGTGTGGTTGTTGTTTGGTGTTTGGGGGGGGGGTGTTTGGGTTTGGGTGTGTGGTTGGGTGTTTGGGGGGGGGGGGGGGGGTTTTGTGGGGTGTGGGGGGTGGGGTTGTTGTTGTAGAATAATATGTAGGTTGGGGATGAGTTGATTGGGGGGTGAGAGAGATTATTTTATTTGGTGGGGGGGGGGGGTGGGGGTTTGGGGTGGGTGGTGTTAATGGTGGTTATGTATGGTTGTGGTTGGTGGTGGGGGGGGTTATTTGAGTGTATTTAGAATGTAGGGGAAAGATTTAGAGTGGTTAGTGGTTTTGGGGGTGGTGGGGGGGTTATTGTTGTGTGGGGGGGGGTGGGGGGTGGGGTGGTTGGTAAGATATTTTTTTTTTTGGGGGGGTGGGTTGGTTTGGGGGTGGTGTGGGGTTTGGTTGGTTTGTTGTGTGTTGGGGGGGAGTGTTGGGTTTGTTTGTGGTGGGGGGGGGTGGGTGTTTGTGGTTATGGGGGGTGGATTTGTGGGGTTGGTTTTGTTGGATTTGGTTGTGGTGTGTATGTGTGGGGGTGTGGGGGGTGTTGGGGGGGTGGGTTGGTGGGGGGGGGGTGGGGGGTTTGTGGGGGTTAAGGGGTTTGGTTGGTTGGGGTGGGTTGGGTGTGGGTGTGGTGGGGTTTGGTGGGGGGGGTGGGTGTGGGGGTGATTGGGGGGGGGGGGGGGGGGGGTGGGTTGGTGGGGGTGTTGGGGGGGGTGGGGGGTGGGGGTGTTGTTGGGGTTGGTGTGGTTGGGGTTGGTGGGGGGGGGGGGGGGGGGTGTGTGGTGGGGGGTGGGGGGTGTGGGTGGTGGGGTTTTTATTTTGTTAATGTTTTGGTGGTGTTTGGTTTGGTTTGTGGGGGTGGTGGTTGGTGTGTGTTGTTGTTTGGAGGTGGGGGTGGTGTTGGTGTTGGGGTGGTGGGGTGGTGGGGGGGGGGTGTGTGGTGGTTTGTGGTTTGTGTGGGTGTGGGGGTTGGTTTTAGGTTGGTGTGGTGGAATTGATTGTGGGTGTTGTGGTTTGGGGGGGGGGTTGGGTGGGGTGTATTGGTGGGGGGGTTGTGTTGGGGTGGGGGGGTGGGGGGGGTGGGGGGGGGGGTTGGGGGGGGGGGGGGGGGTTTTTGGGGTTTGGGGGGGGGGGGGGTGGTGTGGGAGGGTGGGTTGTGTGTGTGTTTTGGGGGTGGGGTGGTTTTGGTTTGGTGGTTGGGTGGTTTGTGTTATATTTGGTGGGGGTTGGGGTTATGGAGGGTTGGGTTTGGGGGGGTGGTGTTGTGTGGTTGGGTTTGTGGTGGGGTGGGGGGGGGTGGGGTGTGTTTGGGTTTGGTGGGGTTGGGGTGTGGTGGGTTGGGTGTTGGGGTTTGGGTGGTGGTGGGGGGGGGTTTGGGGGGGGGTGTGGTGTTGTGTGTTGTTGTTGTTGTGGGTATGTGTTTGGGTTGGGGTTGTGGGGGTTGGGGGGGTGGGTGTGTGGTGGTGTGGGGGGGTGTGTGGGGTGTGGGTGGTGTGGTTGTTTTGGATGGTTGTGGGGGGGGGGTTGGGGGTGGGGGGGGGTGGGTGGGGTTTTGGGTGGGTGGGGGGTGGGTTGTTTGGGTGTGTTTTGGTGTGGTTTGTGGGGTGGGGGTGGGGGGTGGGGTGGGGGGGGTGGGGGGGTGGTGGGGTGGGGGGGGTGGGGGGGGGTGTTGTTGGGGGTGTGTTTGGGGTATTTTTGTTTGTGTTGTTATGTTGGTATGTTTTTTTGGGGTGGGGGGTGGTGGGGTGGGTTTGTTTTGTGGGTGGGTGTGGGGGGGTTTGTTTGGTTGTGTGTGGTTGGGGGGGGGGGTGGTGTGGGTGGTTGTTTGTGTGTGTAGGTGTTTGTTATATTGGTTTGTTGGTTTGTGGTGGGTGGGGGGTGGTTTGGGTGGTTGTTGGGGGTTGTGTTTTTGGTTATTGGGTATTGTGGGGGGTGATGGGAGAGTTTGGGGTTGGTTGGATTTTTTGTTGGTTTGGATGAAGGGGTATGTTGTGTTGTGTTGGTGTTGGGGGGTGGGGGGGGGGGGGGGGTTGTGTTTGGTGGGTAGGGGTGGTTGGGGGGGTTTTGTGTGAGGGGTGTGTGGGGGGGGGGTGTGGGGGGGGGGGGTGGGATGGGGTTTGGGGGTTGGGGGTGTGTGGGTTGGGGGGGGGTTGGGGGGTTTGGGGGGGGGTTGGGGTTTGGGGGGGGGTTGGGGTGTTTGGGGGTAGGGGGGTGGGTTTGGGGGGTTGGGGGGTTGGGGGTTGGGGGGTTGGGGGTTGGGGGTTGGGGGTTGGGGGGTTGGGGGGGGGGTTGGGTGTTGGGTGTGGGGGTTGGGGGGTTGGGGGGTTGGGGGGGGGTTTGTGGGTGGGGGTTGGGGTGGGGTTTGGGGTTTGTGGGGGTTGGTGGGTTGGTGTGGGTTGGGGGTTGGGGGGGTGGTGGGTTTGGGGGTTGGGTTGTTGTGGGGTTGGGGGGGGTTGGGGGTGTGTGTGGTGTGTGTGGGTTTGGGTTGTTTTTGGGTTTTGTTTGTTGGTTGTGTTGTGGGTGGTTGTGGGGTTGGGTGTGTGTGGTTGGGTTGTTGGGGTTGTGGGGGTGTTTTTGGGGTGGTTGTTTGTGGTGGGGTGGGTGTGTGTGTTTGGTGGGGGGGGGGGGGTTGTGGGTGGGTGTGGTGGGTGGGGTGGGTGGGGGGGGGTGTGGTGGTGTGTGGGTTGTTGTGGGGTGGGGGGGGTGGGTGTTTGGGTTGGTTGTTTGTGTGGTGGGGTTTGGTGGTGGGGTGTTGGTGGGGGTTTGGTGGGGTGGTTTGGTGGGTGGGGTTGTGGGTGGGTTTGGTGTGGGGGTTTGGTGTTGGGTTTGGTGGAGGTGTTGTGTGGGGTTGTGTGGGTTTGGTGGTGGGGTTTGGTGGGTGGTGTTTGGTGGTGGGGTTTGGGTGGGTTGGGGTTGGTGGTGGTTTTGGGTGGTTGGTGTGGGGTTTGGTGTGGGGTTGGTGGTGGGTTTGGTGGGTGGGGTTGGTGGTTTGTTGGGTGGGTTTGGTGGTGGGGGGGGGTGGGGGGTGGGGGGGGGGGGGGGGGGTGGTGGGGGGGGGTGGTGGGGTGGGGGTGGGGGGGTGGGGGTGTTTTGGGGGGTGTTGGGGTGGGGGGTGGGGGGGTGGTGGGGGTGTGGGGGTGGGGGTGTGTGTGGGGGGTGTGGGTTGGGTGGGGGGGGGGGTGTGGGGGGGGGTTGGGGTGTGTGTGGGGGGGTGTGGTTGGTGGTTGGGTTGTTTTTTGGGGTTTTTTTTTGGGGGGGGGGGTTGGTGGGTGGGGGTGGGGTGGTTGTGTGGGTTGGGGGGGGGTTTTGGGTTGTTTGGTTGTGGGGGTGGGTGGGGTGGTTGTGGGGGGGTTGGGTGGGGGTGTGTGGGGGGGGGGTTTGGTGGGTGTGGTGGGGTGTGGGGGTGGGGGGTTGTTTTGGGGGGGGGGGGTTTGGTGGGGGGGGTTTGGGGGGGGGTTTGGGTGGTGTTTGGGGGGGGTGGTTGGTGGTGTGGGGGGGGGGGGGGGGGGGTGTTTGGGGGTGGGGGGGTTGGGGGGTGGGGTTGGGGTTGGTGGGGGGGGGGGGGGTGGTGGTGGGGGGGGTGGGGGGGTTGGGGGGGGGGTTGTGGGTGGGGGGTGGTTGTGGTGGGGGTGTGGTGGGTGGGTGTGGGGGGTGGGGGTTTGGGTTTGTGTGGGTTGGGTTTTTGGGTGTGTGTGTGGGGTGTGGTTTTGTGTTGGGTGGGGGGGGGGGGGGGGGTTTGTTTTTGTTGGGGGTGGGGTTTGGGTGTTGGGGTGTGTGTGGTGTGTTTGGTTTGGGGTGTTTGTTTGGGGTGGGGGGGGGGGGGGGGGGGTGGTTTGGTGGGGGGGTGGGTTTTTGGGGGGGTTGGGTGGGTTGTTGGGTTGTGGTGGGGTGGGGGGGGGGGGGGGGGGTGGGGGTGGTGGTGGGGTGTGGGGTGGGGGGGGGGGGGGGTGGGGGGTGGGGGTGGGGGGGGTGGGGGTGTGGGGGGGTTTTGGGTGGGTGGTGTGGTGTGTTGTGGTGGGGGTGGGGGGTTGGGGGGTTGGGGGGGGTGGGGGGGGTGTTTGGGGGTGGGTGTTGGGGGGGTGTTGTTGTGGGGGGGGTGTGGGGGTGGGGGGGTTGGGGGTTGGGGGGTTGGGTGTGTTTTGGTTGGGTGGGGGGGGGGGGGTTGGGGGTTGGGGGGGGTTTGTTGGGGTGTGGTGTGGGTGTGTTTGGTGGGTGGGGGGGGGGTGGGGGTGGGTTGTGGTTGGGTTGGGTTGGGTTTTTGTTAGTTGTGTAGGGTTGTGTTGGATGGGGGTTTAGGGATGGTGGTGGGTTTGGGTTTTGGGTGATAGTGTGGGGTGTGGGGTGTGGTTTGGGGGGGGGGGTGGGGGTGGGGGTGGGGTGTTGGGTGGTGGGTGTGGGGTTGGGGTGGGGGGGGGGGGGGTGGTGGTTGGTGTTGGTGGTTGTGGGGGGGGTGTTGGTGGGTGGGTGGGGGTTGGTGGGGGGGGGGTGTGGGGGGTGGGTGGTGGTTGTTGTTGGGTTTGGGGGTGGTGTGTGGGGGTTGGGGTGGTTTTTGTTGTGTGGGGGGTGTGGGTGGTGGGGGGGGTGGTTTGGTGTGTGTGGGTGGTGGTTTGGGGGGGGGGGGGGTTGTGGGGGGGTGGGTGGGGTGTGGGTTGGGGTGGGGGGTGTGTGTTTGGGGGGGGGGTGGGGGTGGGGGGGGGGGTGTGTGTGGTGGTGGTGTGTGGGGGGGGGGTGGGGGGGGGTTTGGTGGGGGGTGGTGTGGGTTTGTGTTGGGGGGGGGGGGGGGGGGTGGTTTTGTGGGTGGTTGTGTTTTTTTTTGGTGGGTGGTGTGGGGGGGTGGTGGGGTGTTGGGTTTGGGGTGTGTGGGGTGTGGGGGTGGTGTGGGGGGGTGTTGGTGGTGGTGGTGTGTTGTGGTTTGGGGGGGGGTGGGGGGGTTGGGTGTGGGGGGTTGGGGGGGGTGGGGGGGGGGGTTGTGGTTGTTGGGTGTGTTGGGGTGGGGGGGGTGTGGGTGGGGGTTGGGTTGGGTGGGGGTTGTTGGGTGGGGTGGGGGGGGGGTGTGTGTGGTGTTTGGGTTTGTTGATTTGTTGTTTGGGGTGTGGGTGGTTTGGGGTGTTGTGTGGTGTGGGTGGTGGTTGGGGGGGGGGGGGGGGGGTTTGTGGGGGGGGTTGGGTTGTTTGTTGGGGTTGGGGGTGGTGTGGTTTGGGGGGGGGGGTGGGGGGTGGGGGGGGTTGGGGTTGTGGGGGGTGGTGTTTTGGTGGGTGTGTTGGTAGGGGTTGAGGGGTGTGGGTGTTGGTTGGGGGGGTGGTGTTTGGGTGGTGGGGTGGTGGGGGGTGGGGGGGTTGTGCAGAGAGAGACCAGAGAGAGACCAGAGAGAGACCAGAGAGAGACCAGAGAGAGACCAGAGAGAGACCAGAGAGAGACCAGAGAGAGAGAGAGACCAGAGAGAGACCAGAGAGAGAGAGAGACCAGAGAGAGAGACCAGAGAGAGAGAGAGAGACCAGAGAGAGACCAGAGAGAGACCAGAGAGAGACCAGAGAGAGACCAGAGAGAGAGAGACCAGAGAGAGAGAGACCAGAGAGAGACCAGAGAGAGACCAGAGAGACCAGAGAGACCAGAGAGAGACCAGAGAGAGACCAGAGAGAGACCAGAGAGAGACCAGAGAGAGAGACCAGAGAGAGACCAGAGAGAGAGAGACAGAGAGAGACCAGAGAGAGACCAGAGAGAGACCAGAGAGAGACCAGAGAGAGACCAGAGAGAGACCAGAGAGAGACCAGAGAGAGACCAGAGAGAGACCAGAGAGAGACCAGAGAGAGACCAGAGAGAGACCAGAGAGAGAGACCAGAGAGAGACCAGAGAGAGACCAGAGAGAGACCAGAGAGAGACCCAGAGAGAGACCAGAGAGAGACCAGAGAGAGACCAGAGAGACCAGAGAGAGACCAGAGAGAGACCAGAGAGAGACCAGAGAGAGAGAGAGAGACCAGAGAGAGACCAGACAGAGAGACCAGAGAGAGACCAGAGAGAGACCAGAGAGAGACCAGAGAGAGACCAGAGAGAGACCAGAGAGAGACCAGAGAGACCAGAGAGAGAGACCAGAGAGAGACCAGAGAGAGAGACCAGAGAGAGACCAGAGAGAGACCAGAGAGAGAGAGAGACCAGAGAGAGACCAGAGAGAGACCAGAGAGAGACCAGAGAGAGACCAGAGAGAGACCAGAGAGAGACCAGAGAGAGACCAGAGAGAGAGACCAGAGAGAGACCAGAGAGAGACCAGAGAGAGACCAGAGAGAGACCAGAGAGAGACCAGAGAGAGACCAGAGAGAGACCAGAGAGAGACCAGAGAGAGACCAGAGAGAGACCAGAGAGAGACCAGAGAGAGACCAGAGAGAGACCAGAGAGAGACCAGAGAGAGACCAGAGAGAGACCAGAGAGAGACCAGAGAGAGACCAGAGAGAGACCAGAGAGAGAGCCAGAGAGAGACCAGAGAGAGAGACCAGAGAGAGACCAGAGAGAGAGACCAGAGAGAGAGACCAGAGAGAGAGACCAGAGAGAGAGACCAGAGAGAGAGGAGACAGAGAGAGAGAGACAGAGAGAGACCAGAGAGAGACCAGAGAGAGAGACCAGAGAGAGACCAGAGAGAGACCAGAGAGAGACCAGAGAGAGACCAGAGGAGACCAGAGAGAGACCAGAGAGAGACCAGAGAGAGACCAGAGAGAGACCAGAGAGAGACCAGAGAGAGACCAGAGAGAGACCAGAGAGAGACCAGAGAGAGACCAGAGAGAGAGACCAGAGAGAGAGACCAGAGAGAGAGACCAGAGAGAGAGACCAGAGAGAGACCAGAGAGAGAGACCAGAGAGAGAGACCAGAGAGAGAGACCAGAGAGAGACCAGAGAGAGACCAGAGAGAGACCAGAGAGAGACCAGAGAGAGACCAGAGAGAGAGACCAGAGAGAGACCAGAGAGAGACCAGAGAGAGACCAGAGAGAGAGACCAGAGAGAGAGACCAGAGAGAGACCAGAGAGAGAGAAGAGAGAGACCAGAGAGAGACCAGAGAGAGAGACCAGAGAGAGACCAGAGAGAGACCAGAGAGAGACCAGAGAGAGACCAGAGAGAGAGACCAGAGAGAGACCAGAGAGAGACCAGAGAGAGAGACCAGAGAGAGAGACCAGAGAGAGAGACCAGAGAGAGACCAGAGAGAGACCAGAGAGAGACCAGAGAGAGACCAGAGAGAGACCAGAGAGAGACCAGAGAGAGAGACCAGAGAGAGAGACCAGAGAGAGAGACCAGAGAGAGACCAGAGAGAGACCAGAGAGAGACCAGAGAGAGACCAGAGAGAGACCAGAGAGACACCAGAGAGACACCAGAGAGAGACCAGAGAGAGACCAGAGAGAGACCAGAGAGAGAGACCAGAGAGAGAGACCAGAGAGAGACCAGAGAGAGAGACCAGAGAGAGACCAGAGAGAGACCAGAGAGAGACCAGAGAGAGACACCAGAGAGAGACCAGAGAGAGACACCAGAGAGAGACCAGAGAGAGACCAGAGAGAGAGACCAGAGAGACACCAGAGAGAGACCAGAGAGAGACCAGAGAGAGACCAGAGAGAGACCAGAGAGAGACCAGAGAGAGACCAGAGAGAGACCAGAGAGAGACCAGAGAGACCAGACCAGAGAGAGAGACCAGAGAGAGACCAGAGAGAGACCAGAGAGACACCAGAGAGAGACCAGAGAGAGACCAGAGAGAGACCAGAGAGAGACCAGAGAGAGACCAGAGAGAGACCAGAGAGAGACCAGAGAGAGACCAGAGAGAGACCAGAGAGAGAGACCAGAGAGAGAGACCAGAGAGAGAGACCAGAGAGAGACCAGAGAGAGACCAGAGAGAGACCAGAGAGAGACCAGAGAGAGACCAGAGAGAGACCAGAGAGAGACCCAGAGAGAGACCAGAGAGAGCAGAGAGAGACCAGAGAGAGACCAGAGAGAGAGACCAGAGAGAGACCAGAGAGAGACCAGAGAGAGAGACAGAGAGAGAGACCAGAGAGAGACCAGAGAGAGACCAGAGAGAGACCAGAGAGAGAGAGAGACCAGAGAGAGACCAGAGAGAGAGACCAGAGAGAGAGACCAGAGAGAGAGACCAGAGAGAGACCGAGAGAGAGACCAGAGAGAGACCAGAGAGAGACCAGAGAGAGACCAGAGAGACACCAGAGAGACACCAGAGAGAGACCAGAGAGAGACCAGAGAGAGAGACCAGAGAGAGAGACCAGAGAGAGACCAGAGAGAGACCAGAGAGAGACCAGAGAGAGACCAGAGAGAGACCAGAGAGACCAGAGAGACACCAGAGAGAGACCAGAGAGAGACCAGAGAGAGACCAGAGAGAGACCAGAGAGAGAGACCAGAGAGAGACCAGAGAGAGAGACCAGAGAGAGACCAGAGAGAGACCAGAGAGAGACCAGAGAGACACCAGAGAGAGACCAGAGAGACACCAGAGAGAGACCAGAGAGAGACCAGAGAGAGAGACCAGAGAGACACCAGAGAGACACCAGAGAGAGACCAGAGAGAGACCAGAGAGAGACCAGAGAGAGACCAGAGAGAGACCAGAGAGAGACCAGAGAGAGACCAGAGAGAGACCAGAGAGAGACCAGAGAGAGACCAGAGAGAGAGACCAGAGAGACACCAGAGAGAGAGACCAGAGAGACACCAGAGAGAGACCAGAGAGAGACCAGAGAGAGACCAGAGAGAGACCAGAGAGAGAGACCAGAGAGAGAGACCAGAGAGAGAGACCAGAGAGAGACCAGAGAGAGACCAGAGAGAGACCAGAGAGAGACCAGAGAGAGACCAGAAAGACCAGAGAGACCAGAGAGAGAGAACAGAGCGAGATCAGAGAGAGACCAGAAAGAGACCAGGACTAAACATATTTCTGGAGCTACTATCTGGAACAGTCGTCTGGCTTTACGTGACGCAGGTCTATAAACACACCTCCCATGCACAGCAGAGTCACCTCTGTAGGAGGTGACGCAGGTCTATAAACACGCCTCCCATGCACAGCAGAGTCACCTCTGTAGGAGCAGAGCTGGGCCTGGGCTTCCTGGTACGACAGGATGTTGCTGTGGAAGTGGGACACGATCTGCTTCCGGAGGTTCTCCCAACACGGAGACAGCTCCCCCAACTGCTCCAGCTCACTCACTCTGAAGACCAACAGGACAGGTGTTCCCAGAGAGAGCTACACAGAGAGAGAGCTACACACAGAGAGAGCTACACACAGAGAGAGAGCTACACACAGAGAGAGAGCTACACACAGAGAGAGAGCTACAGAGAGAGAGTTACAGAGAGAGAACTACACAGAGAGAGGGCTACACACAGAGAGAGCTACAGAGAGAGAGCTACACAGAGAGAGAGCTACACAGAGAGAGCTACACAGAGAGAGAGCTACACAGAGAGAGAGCTACACAGAGAGAGAACTACACAGAGAGAGAGCTACACAGAGAGAGAGAGAGAGACTACACAGAGAGAGAACTACACAGAGAGAGAACTACACAGAGAGAGGGCTACACAGAGAGAGCTACAGAGAGAGAGCTACACAGAGAGAGCTACACAGAGAGAGAGCTACACAGAGAGAGAGCTACACAGAGAGAGAACTACACAGAGAGAGAGCTACACAGAGAGAGAGCTACACAGAGAGAGAGCTACACAGAGAGAGAGCTACACGGAGAGAGAGTTACACAGAGAGAGAGCTACACAGAGAGAGAGCTACACAGAGAGAGAACTACACAGAGAGAGAGCTACACAGAGAGAGAGCTACACAGAGAGAGAACTACACAGAGAGAGAACTACACAGAGAGAGAACTACACAGAGAGAGAACTACACAGAGAGAGAACTACACAGAGAGAGAGCTACAGAGAGAGAGCTACACAGAGAGAGAGCTACACAGAGAGGAGCTACACAGAGAGAGAGCTACACAGAGAGAGAACTACACAGAGAGAGAACTACACAGAGAGAGAACTACACAGAGAGAGGGCTACACACAGAGAGAGCTACAGAGAGAGAGCTACACAGAGAGAGAGCTACACAGAGAGAGAGCTACACAGAGAGAGAGCTACACAGAGAGAGAGCTACACAGAGAGAGAGCTACACAGAGAGAGAGCTACACGGAGAGAGAGTTACACAGAGAGAAAGCTACACAGAGAGAGAGCTACACAGAGAGAGAGCTACACAGAGAGAGAGCTACACAGAGAGAGAGCTACACAGAGAGAGAACTACACAGAGAGAGAACTACACAGAGAGAGAACTACACAGAGAGAGAACTACACAGAGAGAGAGCTACACAGAGAGAGACTACACAGAGAGAGAACTACACAGAGAGAGAACTACACAGAGAGAGAACTACACAGAGAGAGAACTACACAGAGAGAGACTACAGAGAGAGAGCTACACAGAGAGAGAGCTACACAGAGAGAGAGCTACACAGAGAGAGAGCTACACAGAGAGAGACTACACAGAGAGAGAACTACAAGAGAGAACTACACAGAGAGAGAACTACACAGAGAGAGAACTACACAGAGAGAGAACTACACAGAGAGAGAACTACACAGAGAGAGAACTACACAGAGAGAGAGACTACAAGAGAGAGCTACACAGAGAGAGCTACACAGAGAGAGCTACACAGAGAGAGAACTACACAGAGAGAGAACTACACAGAGAGAGAGCTACACAGAGAGAGAACTACACAGAGAGAGAACTACACAGAGAGAGAACTACACAGAGAGAGAACTACACAGAGAGAGAACTACACAGAGAGAGAACTACACAGAGAGAGAGCTACAGAGAGAGAGCTACACAGAGAGAGAGCTACACAGAGAGAGAGCTACACAGAGAGAGAGCTACACAGAGAGAGAGCTACACAGAGAGAGAACTACACAGAGAGAGAACTACACAGAGAGAGAACTACACAGAGAGAGGGCTACACACAGAGAGAGCTACAGAGAGAGAGCTACACAGAGAGAGAGCTACACAGAGAGAGAGCTACACAGAGAGAGAGCTACACAGAGAGAGAACTACACAGAGAGAGAACTACACAGAGAGAGAACTACACAGAGAGAGAACTACACAGAGAGAGACCTACACAGAGAGAGAGCTACAGAGAGAGAGCTACACAGAGAGAGAGCTACACAGAGAGAGAGCTACACAGAGAGAGAGCTACACAGAGAGAGAACTACACAGAGAGAGACCTACACAGAGAGAGAGCTACAGAGAGAGAGCTACACAGAGAGAGAGCTACAGAGAGAGAGCTACACAGAGAGAGACACAGAGAGAGAGCTACACACAGAGAGAGACCAGAGACTCCACTATCACGTGAATGGCCAACATAATATGTTTATTTTTTTCATATCATTTGCTTTGCAGTTTGCATCTTGTGTGTTTTAGGACTTGATAAAAACAGATGTAAGAACCTGGTGGCGTCCTCCTCCAGCAGCAGGCGGAGCAGCTGGCGAGGCACGTTCAGGGACAGCGCGCTCTCCGCCATCTGCTCCAGGACGCGCAGCTGCGAGCCGTTGGTGCGCGGCACACGGTACATGCGCGACATGGTGCCTCCGAACACTGCGGACACATGGTACGGGGAGTAAGAGTACAGCGTGACTAGAGAGACCAGAGAGAGACCAGAGAGAGACCAGAGAGAGAGAGACCAGAGAGAGAGACCAGAGAGAGAGACCAGAGAGAGACCAGAGAGAGACCAGAGAGAGACCAGAGAGAGACCAGAGAGAGAGACCAGACAGAGAGATTAGAGAGAGACCAGAGAGAGAGACCAGAGAGAGAGACCAGAGAGAGACCAGAGAGAGAGAGACCAGAGAGAGACCAGAGAGAGACCAGAAAGAGACCAGAGAGAGACCAGAGAGAGACCAGAGAGAGACCAGAGAGAGACCAGACAGAGAGATCAGAGAGAGACCAGAGAGAGAGACCAGAGAGAGAGACCAGAGAGAGACCAGAGAGAGACCAGAAAGAGACCAGAGAGAGACCAGAGAGAGACCAGAGAGACCAGAGAGAGACCAGAGAGAGACCAGAGAGAGAGACCAGAGAGAGAGACCAGACAGAGAGACCAGACAGAGAGATCAGAGAGAGACCAGAGAGAGAGACCAGAGAGAGACCAGAGAGAGACCAGAGAGAGACCAGAGAGAGACCAGAGAGAGACCAGAGAGAGACCAGAGAGAGAGACCAGACAGAGAGACCAGACAGAGAGACCAGAGAGAGACCAGAGAGAGACCAGAGAGAGAGACCAGAGAGAGGGACCAGAGAGAGAGACCAGAGAGAGACCAGAGAGAGACCAGAGAGAGACCAGAGAGGCCAGGGAGAGACCAGAGAGAGAGAGACCAGAGAGAGACCAGAGAGAGACCAGAGAGAGACCAGAGAGAGAGAGACCAGAGAGAGGGACCAGAGAGAGAGACCAGAGAGAGACCAGAGAGAGACCAGAGAGAGACCAGAGAGAGAGACCAGAGAGAGAGTCAGAAGCGAAGCCGGGTTTTCAGGATGTACCTGAACGCAGCAGAGAGTCGTGGCCCAGAGAGGCGTACTTGAGGCGCGCTCCCACAGACTCGGTGAGGCTCTGGTCCACGGGCAGCACCGTCTGCGGAACACAACACACGGGTCACAACACACGCGCGGGTCACAACACACGGGTCACAACACAACACACGGGTCACAACATACGGGTCACAACACACGGGTCACAACACACGGGTCACAACACACGGGTCACAACACAACACACGGGTCACAACACACGGGTCACAACACAACACACGGGTCACAACACACGGGTCACAACACAACATACGGGTCACAACACAACATACGGGTCACAACACACGGGTCACAACACACGGGTCACAACACACGGGTCACAACACACGGGTCACTGTGGTCAGGAGTGGTCAGAGGTGGGAGTTGGTGAAACATTTGATGATTTGATAGATATTTGGGCCACAATTTAATATTATTGCGACTCCTAATTTCTGCGATAAATTGTGTGTGTGTATGTCTGTGTCTGTATGTTTGTGTCTGTGTCTGTATGTGTGTGTGTGTCTGTGCATGTGTGTATGTCTCTGGTGTGTGTGCATGTGTGTCTCTGTGCCTGTGTGTGTGTGTGTGTCGTACCCGTGTGTTCTCCCTGAAGTGTCCCGCAGACAGCCTCCAGTCCACCCGCTCCTCCCTCCCCCACGGACGCACCAGGACCACGCCCACTCGCTGGTTCTCTGGCGATCTACAAAACACACAGATGCTGATGTTTCTCTGGTGCAACATTAGCCCCGACTCCACCCGACCTCCACCCAACCCCACCCAACCTCACCCGACCTCACCCGACTCCACCCGACCTCACCCGACTCCACCCGACCTCACCCGACTCCACCCGACCCCACCCAACCTCACCCAACCCCACCCAACCCCACCCAACCTCACCCGACCCCACCCAACCTCTCCACCCGACCTGCACCCCAACCTCACCCAACCTCACCCGACTCCACCCGACCTGCACCCGACCCCACCCAACCTCACCGACCGACCCCACCCAACCTCACCCGACTCCACCCAACCTCACCCGACTCCACCCAACCTGCACCCGACTCCACCCGACCTCACCCAACCTCACCCAACCCCACCCAACCTCACCCAACCCCACCCAACTCACCAACCTCACCCGACTCCACCCGACCTCACCCAACCTCACCCAACCCCACCCAACCTCACCCAACCCCACCCAACCTCACCTGACTCCACCCGACCTGCACCCAACCTCACCCAACCTCACCCGACTCCACCCAACCTGCACCCGCCCCCTTCCAACCTCACCCGACTCCACCCGACCTCACCCGACCATGATGGGAGTCTTTCCACTATCCCTGTGTAACCAGCACCATGTCCTCTTCTTTAGTCCCTCTTGGTCCAGGTTCTATCCAGGCCGAGCTGGTACTAAAGTGTTCTAATAGCGCTTTTCCACAGCACCGGCACTACACCACTCTACACGACACGGCGCGTTACTTTTGCATTTCCACTAGCGTTGAAGCTAGGTATTGTGTTCTATTTTCGGACCGCCTCGGGAGCGGTTCCAAAAAGCTACACTCTCGTGACGTAAGCGGACTGCCTACACTATTGGCCAACGGCTCTCTCACACTATTGGCCAACGACTGTCGTCACTGGTAGCGTCATAAGTGCGACGTCTGACCGTATTGAGAGACAAGATTCAACCCCGCCATTTTTAAAACTGCCCCGTGAGCATACGCACTGCACTCGAGAAATGGAATCCAGCAAGCCGCAAAAGTCCACACCGTGGTCTGTTGATGAGGTCCAAACATTTCTGTCTTTACTGGCCGAAGACAGAATACAGAAGGAGCTCGATGGCAGTACGCGAAATGAGAAGGTCTATAAAGAGATCGCCCAGCTCTTGCTCACACACGGTTACCACCGTACGCATCAGCAGTGCAGGGACAAGATTAAAAAGATGAAGTGCGATTACCGGGCCATAAAGGACCACAACGGCCGAAGTGGGGTCAATCGGAAGACCTGGAGGTGGTATGCCGAGATGGATGCCATTTATGGCCACAGGCCTGCAAACAATGGACGGGAGTGTGCTCTGGACTCTTCTACCACGTCGAGAATGGGCGATAATGGTAAGTGCTTGGCTTGAACTGACCAGAGTGCTGCCATGGTTACTCGGGAATCTCCATGGATACGGGTTTGTTGTGGATAGGTTGCTAAGATACGGTACCAGACATTAAAGTTCAATGGAAACATGGTATGGTAGAGTAGAGTAGAGTAGAGTAGAGTAGGGTAGGGTAGGGTAGAGTAGAGTAGAGTAGAGTAGAGTAGAGTAGAGTAGAGTAGAGTAGAGTAGAGTAGAGTAGAGTAGAGTAGAGTAGAGTAGGGTAGGGTAGGGTAGGGTAGGGTAGAGTAGAGTAGAGTAGGGCTTGTGTATGTCTGCAGTACCTGAGCTCCAGTTGCAGTTGTCCCGTCTGGTCCTGCAGCAGTTCTTTGAGCGGGAACAGTGCAGAGCCCAACATGTACATCTGCACAGACCACACTTTAGTTTAGACCGCGGTCACATGCACGGCCTAAAGCCCGGTTTAAGGCCGTGGTCACATGCACGGCCTAAAGCCCGGTTTAAGGCCGTGGTCACATGCACGGCCTAAAGCCCGGTTTAAGGCCGTGGTCACATGCATGGCCTAAAGCCCGGTTTAAGGCCGTGGTCACATGCACGGCCTAAAGCCCGGTTTAAGGCCGTGGTCACATGCACGGCCTAAAGCCCGGTTTAAGGCCGTGGTCACATGCACGGCCTAAAGCCCGGTTTAAGGCCGTGGTCACATGCACGGCCTAAAGCCCGGTTTAAGGCCGTGGTCACATGCACGGCCTAAAGCCCGGTTTAAGGCCGCGGTCACATGCATGGCCTAAAGCCCGGTTTAAGGCCGTGGTCACATGCACGGCCTAAAGCCCGGTTTAAGGCCGCGGTCACATGCACGGCCTAAAGCCCGGTTTAAGGCCGCGGTCACATGCACGGCCTAAAGCCCGGTTTATGTGCGTGCGTGTCTATAAAAGATGCACAGCCTGATCATTTCTCACAGTCTGTAAAGGCCCAAACCGACCGTGCCCTGGGAGCGCTCCTTGACGTCGTAAACAGCAAGTTTGATCTGAGTGTGTTGGCTGAGGCTGGAGTCCTGGAAGAAGGCCACGCTGCTCAGGAAGCTCGGGTTATTGGTGCCCTGGAAGAAAACAAAATGACATGACAAAATTCATTCAATTACATTTATTTTTGTACAGCCCAAAATCACAACCGCAAAATCACTTTACAAACTTGATTTGCCAGCAGGGATCAGGAAACTTTAGCATAATAAAGAAGCTAGTATAAAATTCTCCCTCTGTATTGCACTCTCTCCCTCTGTATTGCACTCTCTCCCTCTGTATTGCACTCTCTCCCTCTGTATTGCACTCTCTCCCTCTGTATTGCACTCTCTCCCTCTGTATTGCACCCTCTCCCTCTGTATTGCACACTCTCCCTCTGTATTGCACACTCTGCACTCTCTCCCTCTGTATTGCACTCTCTCCCTCTGTATTGCACTCTCCCTCTGTATTGCACTCTCCCTCTGTATTGCACTCTCCCTCTGTATTTCACGCTCTCCCTCTGTATTGCACACTCTCCCTCTGTATTGCACACTCTCCCTCTGTATTGCACACTCTCTCCCTCTGTATTTCACTCTCTCCCTCTGTATTGCACTCTCTCCCTCTGTATTGCACACTCTCCCTCTGTATTGCACACTCTCCCTCTGTATTGCACACTCTCTGCACTCTCTCCCTCTGTATTGCACTCTCTCCCTCTGTATTGCACTCTCTCCCTCTGTATTGCACACTCTCCCTCTGTATTGCACACTCTCCCTCTGTATTGCACACTCTCCCTCTGTATTTCACACTCTCCCTCTGTATTGCACACTCTCCCTCTGTATTGCACTCTCCCTCTGTATTGCACTCTCCCTCTGTATTGCACATTGCACTCTCTCCCTCTGTATTGCACTCTCTCCCTCTGTATTGCACGCTCTCCCTCTGTATTGCACGCTCTCCCTCTGTATTGCACGCTCTCCCTCTGTATTGCACGCTCTCCCTCTGTATTTCACGCTCTCCCTCTGTATTGCACGCTCTCCCTCTGTATTGCACGCTCTCCCTCTGTATTGCACGCTCTCCCTCTGTAGTGCACGCTCTCCCTCTGTATTGCACGCTCTCCCTCTGTATTGCACGCTCTCCCTCTGTATTGCACTCTCTCCCTCTGTAATGCACTCTCTCCCTCTGTATTGCACTCTCCCTCTGTATTGCACACTCTGAGATTGCCCTCGGGGCTCATGTCTCACCTCCATCACCTCGGTCTGGCTGTGCTTGGTCCAGAACACCTGGGGGGGGGTGGTGGTGCTCACGGCGATGAAGGTGTTGGGTTTGCGGTCCACGGCCGGGGTCACCAGGTCCGAACAGGCTGCGGAGCAAACCCAGAGTGACCTTTAACCTTTTTATCGTATTGTAATTTATAAAAATCTGCAGAGACACGAACCCAAAGCCAACTCCAGCACCGGCTCGTCTGGGTCTTGGCTGTTTCCTGGACAACATAGTTTTACATTTTTAAACAGATATCAGAACTTTGATCAAAATCACGTCATAAGTCGTTATAAAAACATTTCATAAGAAAGAACCAAGTATGACGTGAAAAGTGCTGAAGGGAAAGAGTCTGGTTTGTGCATTAAAGCTGGGGTACCTAACTTTATCTGGGACTCGGGCGGTCTTCTCTTTTTCACTTTTATAAGATACTGTAGGTCCATTGTTTATGGTTTTAAAGTTAAGGAAGGAACCTCAGCTTTAAACTATTCATGACAGTGTGACGCTGAGAGAGAGAGAGAGAAACAAGAGAGACTAGAGCGAGAGACCAGAGAGACCAGAGAGAGAGAAAAAGAGAGAGAGCGAGAGAGACGAGAGCGAGACGAAAGCGAGAGAGAGAAAGAGAGAAGGAGACCAGAGAGAGAGAGAAAGAGAGAAGGAGACCAGAGAGAGAGAGAGAAACAAGAGAGAGAAAAAGAGAGAGAGAGAGCGAGAGAAACAAGAGAGACTAGAGCGAGAGACCAGAGAGAGACCAGAGAGAGAGAGAGAGCGAGAGCGAGAGAGACCAGAGAGAGAGAGAGCGAGAGAGACCAGAGAGACCAGAGAGAGAGACCCTACCGGCCAGGGCCAGCCCCAGCATCTCGTTGGACAGCTCCAAAGTGCTGGCTCTGTACACGGACCACGGCCTCTGGAGTCGAGAGCCGCGCTCCCTGGCCCCCGCCATGACACACGTCTGCCAGCAGAGGGCGCCAGAGAAGTCCCATGTGAGGAGACACCAGCTCCAGCCTGCTCCACCTGCTTCCTGCACCAGAATATGGGAACGTTAATCATGTCAAGGCTTAAATAAAATCAATCGTCAATAAATAAATGTTCTGAAATATACAACTGGTCCACCAGTAGACCATAGAGCGTGTATGAGGAGTGGCCCGGCCGCGTGTGACATCACCTGATCGCCTAAACTGCGGGAGAAGCCGATTTGAACGTAAGCTAGCTGGAGCCTATTTCCTTATATGGGCATGTGTTCTGAGAGCTTTGCGGTGTAACGGGCAGACGTGTTGCTAAGACAGAGTTTCCCCTGTGAATGAAGGCCTCTGATTGGTCAATCCTCATAAGGCTCAGATCTGGATTTACAAAAAAAGATCAAAATATAAACCCAAGGATCAGAGAAAGTGCTTTTAAACCCAAAATGGTGGAAGTGACTCAAACCGTTCCTGAGCGGGTTAGCATTGTGCGTCTGTAACAGTCATTAACAGCCTGGTCACTAATTTACACGGCCTCTTTTATCCCATCATTTTAACTCATTTTCACACTTTTCAAACTAAGAATGTCTTGTTATTCTCAATCGTGTTTATTTATTTTATGTGTGTTCAGATGTAAACACATGAAACACATGAAAATACTAAAAACTTAAGTATTCAGAATTGGGTTAACAGCGGCGCAGGTCTGTGTGGCATGACCCATATTCACATAACCTCCTTCTCTCATCTGCAGAAGATTAACCATGATGAAGATGGACGAGGCTCAATGAAGCCCAACAGGGAAGTGCTCATGGACAAAGCTTGGCTCCAACTCGCTCTAGCACCTGTTGACTTACAGGTGCAAGTAAATCTCTCTCTCTCTGATTTTGGAGAGAAGTTGAAAAAAACATTACGTCAATATTTCTGAGTTTCCAAAATCACATGAAAGAGATCAAAGAGAAGTGGAAGCAGAAGTAAAGGTTTTTCTCTCAGTCTTTGAGCAACTCCTATTGGTCAAAGTGCATGAGCCTCAGGTCACGGTCGCACTTTGCTGAAAACCGACACCAAACTGAGAACTCATACATGAACACTCGGAGACACTCGGAGACACTCGGAGACACACAGAGGACACTTGGAGACACACAGAGGACACTCGGAGACACACAGAGACACACAGAGGACACTCGGAGACACTCTGAGGACACTCGGAGACACTCTGAGGACACTCGGAGACACTCGGAGACACTCGGAGACACACAGAGGACACTCGGAGACACACAGAGGACACTCGGAGACACTCGGAGGACACTCGGAGACACTCAGAGACACTCAGAGACACTCAGAGACACTCAGAGACACTCAGAGACACTCAGAGACACTCAGAGACACTCAGAGACACTCAGAGACACTCAGAGACACACAGAGGACACTCGGAGGACACTCGGAGGACACTCGGAGACACTCAGAGACACACAGAGGACACTCGGAGGACACTCGGAGACACTCGGAGACACACAGAGGACACTCGGAGACACACAGAGACAACCAGAGGACACTCGGAGACACACAGAGACACACAGAGACACACAGAGACACACAGAGACACACAGAGACACACAGAGACACACAGAGGAGGACACTCGGAGACACACAGAGGACACTCGGAGACACTCGGAGACACTCGGAGACACTCGGAGACACACAGAGGACACTCGGAGACACACAGAGACACACAGAGGACACTCGGAGACACACAGAGACACACAGAGACACACAGAGACACACAGAGGAGGACACTCGGAGACACACAGAGGACACTCGGAGACACTCGGAGGACACTCAGAGACACTCAGAGACACTCAGAGACACTCAGAGACACTCAGAGACACTCAGAGACACTCAGAGACACACAGAGGACACTCGGAGGACACTCGGAGGACACTCGGAGACACTCAGAGACACACAGAGGACACTCGGAGGACACTCGGAGACACTCGGAGACACACAGAGGACACTCGGAGACACACAGAGACACACAGAGACACACAGAGACACACAGAGACACACAGAGACACACAGAGACACACAGAGACACACAGAGGAGGACACTCGGAGACACACAGAGGACACTCGGAGACACTCGGAGACACTCGGAGACACTCGGAGACACACAGAGGACACTCGGAGACACACAGAGACACACAGAGGACACTCGGAGACACACAGAGACACACAGAGACACACAGAGGAGGACACTCGGAGACACACAGAGGACACTCGGAGACACTCGGAGGACACTAGGAGACACTCAGAGACACTCGGAGGACACTCGGAGGACACTCGGAGGACACTCGGAGGACACTCGGAGACACACAGAGGACACTCGGAGACACACAGAGGACACTCGGAGGACACTCGGAGACACACAGAGGACACTCGGAGACACACAGAGGACACTCGGAGGACACTCGGAGGACACTCGGAGGACACTCGGAGGACACTCGGAGGACACTCGGAGACACTCCAGCAGGAGTCAGATAGTTTGGTTTGGTCTGGTTTTTTATTTGTATTTCTAAGGAATGCTAAATATAAAATGTTTTGATGAAGGCTGTTGTCTGATTGGTTCACAACATTTCTCAATTTAATTTATGAATGTGTTGTTTATGAGGGTTAAAAGTTAGGTCGCCGAGCTTTAAGTCTGCCCAGTCTGTTTGCATGGATTACATTAGGCAAATAGTTTGTGCAACCTCACCCCTCTTTTACCCTACTCCAACCTACTCCTCCCTTTTGCATTACCATTATGCGTAGTAGAGTAGAGTAGAGTAGAGCAGAGCTAAGTAGGGCTAAGTAGGGCTGGTGGAAATGGGGCCATCGTGACGTCGTCTCTTGTGGTTAAAGATGGAAATACTGTCAATTATATTTTTATTGACTTTATTTAAACACCTGGATCAATAAAGTATCCAAGTATTATACAATTGTGTCCAATTTTATAAAACCACATCAATAAGAGGAATAACTGTTCAGGCTGTTATTAAAAGTCCTGACAGTGAAATATGAGGCTAGTTTGAAGGTTTAGTTTAATCCTTTCATGGATTCGGTTTCATTCATATGGAAATGGACCAACACACGCTAAAGTCTTTATTATGCACAACATGCACCGCAGCCAAACCAGGAGCCAGAGCCAGGAGCCAAACCAAGAGCCAAACCCAGGAGCCAGAAACATCCTCCTCTGCCCATCACTCTGACCTTGAGTGAAGGGGGAGCCAGATCTGCAGTGGACCGAACCAAGACCAGGACCAGGACCAGGAGAAGGCCCTGGAACTGGATCACACCCGTCCTTAAGCAAACCCACACACACCAGGAGGCCCCCACACCACCCCCGGGGCCTCTCCTGTCACACTGCACAGGCGGGTGTGAGGTTAAGGTGGAGGCAACTGTGGAGAAACTGCAAACTTGTGCAAGAAAACCAAAGTGTGGCGTGGAGCCGGTGCCAAGGCCTTTACGCGCGAGGACAACAAGTCCAAACAGAGCCAAACACGTCCCTATCCGCTCAGAAAGACCCTGGTCCCAGTTGTCCTTTGATCTGCAAACTTAACAGTCGCAGCAACTCCTTTGACGCACGAAGACGACGCGGTAAACAGAGATCGCGTTCACAAAAACACACTGAGCATGCGCAGTGACTTACCCGTGAGGAGCGAGATGCAGGAGCTAAAGTTGGTAAATCAGAGCTTTTGGGATGGACAGGACGCCGGGTGGAAAACAGCACAGCAGCAGAAGTCTGGAGTCATAGCCACGCCCCCCTCACAGGCGCAAGGGCCGCGCGTCATTACGCACAGAGGCACAGGGCGTGGGGGAAGCGCCATCTAGCGGCAGACAGTGGAAAGACAAGGCAGTTCAGGATTTTGCGTTTATTTATTTTCTACACGTGCCCTGAGGAAGTACCACAGGCTGAATATACACGGTTTATAGATAGTAGGCATTTTTGACGTCTTGCTTGAACCATTTTATCTCGTTCCTGAATATGGATTAATGTAAATTCCTGAGTAACTATATCCGCATAATTCTATTCTCACAATATTATGTTATTATTATTCTTATTTTCAGATTGATACTTTAATGTTATTTTCATTGTGGAACACTATGCAAGCGACTGTGACAACACAACTTCCCTGTGGATCCATAAAGTCTGTCTACGTCTAAATACATGTTTCTGTGCAATACACTTTGAACTAATGTCAGAATGTGCAATACAGAAGCACATGTGTCCACTGCCACTTTACTGAGTCACTTTAACACTTTACTCACTTCTTATCAGTCAGAGATGTATTATTTAGTTCTGGCTTCTTTATTATATAGTTATAGATGTTTTTACAATGAATTTTACGATAAAGTTAATTGTGTGTTCCTCATTCCTACTGTTCAGGCTGTTGTGTGTCTGAGGTTGTTGTTGTGTGTCTGAGGTTGTTGTGTGTCTGGGGTTGTTGTGTGTCAGTTGTGACATATGTGACTCTGACTCCGCCCGGCACATGGCATAAGCCGGTTCCACAACAATCTCCAAAACCAGTTTCCTAGTGCTAAGACCTGCCTAGACTCTGCTGCTCTGGACTCTTTGGACTCTTCTGAACTCTCTAGACTCTCTGGACTCTGTGGACTCTGTGGACTCTGTGGACTCTCTGGACTCTCTGCTGCCCTGGTCTCTCTGGACTCTCTGGACTCTCTGGACTCTCTGGACTCTCTGGACTCTCTGGACTCTCTGGACTCCCTGGACTCTCTGGACTCTCTGGTCTCCCTGGACTCTGTGGACTCTCTGCTGCCCTGGTCTCTCTGGACTCTCTGGACTCTCTGGACTCTCTGGACTCTCTGGACTCTCTGGACTCTGTGGACTCTCTGGTCTCTCTGGTCTCTCTGGACTCTGTGGACTCTCTGGTCTCTCTGGTCTCTCTGGACTCTGTGGACTCTCTGGACTCTCTGGACTCTGCTACCCTGGACTCTCTGGTCTCTCTGGTCTCTCTGGACTCTGTGGACTCTCTGGTCTCTCTGGTCTCTCTGGACTCTGTGGACTCTCTGGACTCTCTGGACTCTGCTACCCTGGACTCTCTGGTCTCTCTGGTCTCTCTGGACTCTCTGGACTCTCTGGACTCTCTGGACTCTCTGGACTCTCTGGACTCTCTGGACTCTCTGGACTCTCTGGACTCTCTGGACTCTGCTACCCTGGACTCTCTGGACTCTGCTACCCTGGACTATCTGGTCTCCCTGGACTCTGTGGACTCTCTGGACTCTCTGGTCTCTCTGGTCTCTCTGGACTCTGTGGACTCTCTGGACTCTGTGGACTCTCTGCTGCCCTGGTCTCTCTGGACTCTTCTGAACTCTCTAGACTCTCTGGACTCTCTGGACTCTCTGGACTCTCTGGTCTTGGTCCCTCCACAGTCCTGACCAATGGGGTTTGGCCTCAGGGTTTGGGGTCCAGGCAGGAGGAGGGAGGTGGGGGTCTGGTGTGTGTTTCCCCTCCTCCTCTTCCTCCTCCTCCTCCTCTGCTCTGGAGGTGAGTGCGAGGCTGAAACGCCACCGGCTCCAGGATCCACGGACGCCGCGGACGCCACGGGGGTCCGCCCGTTCCACAATGACCCCCAGGAGCCGCAGGCCTTCCCAGACCAGGAGCAGGCCAACCTCCCGGTCTTCACCATGGACTACGCTCGGATCCAGGTGCCCTTTGAGTTCACGCTGTGGGTGCTGCTGGCCTCCTTCGCCAAAATAGGTTTGTGTCAAGTTTATTTATATAACGCCTCAGACAGAGCCTCACAGACCTTTCAGCTGTTCAGGGCATTTGTCTCCAAAGAGATGGGAGACAGGTCATAGAGCTACTGCAGGACCTGTTGTACATGGTTTTAGTGGTAGGGGAAACTGGAGCACCCGGAGGAAACATACACAGACACGGGGAAAATATACAAACTCCACTCAGAAAGACTGCCCGGGATTTGAACCCAGGACCTTCTTGCTGAGAAGCGAGAGCGCTAACCACTCAGCTACCGTATACATTTGTGTAAGCCCTCAGTCGTACAGGGATTAGTCAAAGCAAAGGAAGGTTTCTCACCCATCATCTGTACTTCTTAGCAGGTTTTCCCATACCGTCCCGTTTCCAGTACCGTCCCAGGTTTTCCCGTACCGTCCCGTTTCCAGTACCGTCCCAGGTTTTCCCGTACCGTCCCAGGTTTTCCCGTACCGTCCCGTTTCCAGTACCGTCCCGTTTCCAGTACCTGGCCTTTGATTCAAATCATCCGCTACAACACAAACTCGGGGTCATTAGAACGCTTCAACACCGAGCCCACCAGGTCCCCACAAGCTCGGAGGGAAAGAACAGAGAAACCAAACATGTTCAGAGAGCACTTTCCAGATGTGGCTACCCCAAGTGGTCTTTTACTAAAGCCCAAAGGACGAGAAAGGCCAGAGACACAGTCCAACAGACAGAAGAAAGTAGAAGAAGAGGGGTGTCCTTACCGTATGAGTTTCAGAGAAACTACAAAGAATCTTTAGGCAACACAAAATCCCTGTGTATTTCAAACCTTTCAACACGTTAAGACAGAAATTAGTGCATCCCAAAGACAAAACACCCAGACACAAACAGAGCAATGTGGTGTATTCAATTAAATGTAGTGAAGAGGAGTGCACTGACCACTATATTGGAGAAACCAAACAAACTCTACAGAAACGACTTTACCAACATCGTAGAGAAAACTCTAGTGGGCCACAGTCGGCTGTTCATCTCCACCTCAAGGCCTCCAACCACACGGTGGATGACACAGAGGTTAAAATTCTGTACACTATGCAGCCACTTGGTTATGGCGTTCCATGTAGGCCTTCCCTGCAGCATCTTGCACCCTGCAGTTATGTGTTGGATCGTCTCAGGTGCCTCTTTGCACAACCGACACCTTGGGTCTTGTCTGGTGTGGTATATCTGGGCCTCTATCGCTCTGGTGCTCAGGGCCTGCTCCTGTGCAGCCATGATGAGTGCCTCTGTCCTGTAGGCCAGCCCTTTCTAGCCATTGGTAGGACTTCTTGAGATCAGGGTTAGGGTCAGAGCCAGGTGCTGTCCAGTTTTTCATACCTGAGACTCTTTCTCGGATGTCTGCCTCTGTGATGGTAACTGAGTTCTGTTCTGGGAGGTGGCTGTGCTCCTCTCTCAGGGACACCAGCCATTGTCCCATAACAGCACTGCTGTTATGTGCTGCATCCTTGTCCCATATGTTCTTCCAGAACTGTTCAGTTTCCAGCCTCGGTGGATCTGCTCCCCTGTTGTTACCCTGTTGTTACCTAACACTGAGTATACACTTTCGCAAGTTGTGTTGCGAAACAGATATATGTGTGTGTATATATATATACACACACATATATACATGTATATATATATTTAAAAAAACCACCACGGCTGTCCTCTGCCCTTTGTCCACCACCACGATGTCAGGTTGGTTCATTACCATTCGGTCGGTCTGTATCTGGAAGTCCCACAGGATCTTCGTTCATTCTCCACCACCTTTGGAGGAGTTTCCTACTTAGACCTTGGGGTGTCCAGCCCATACTCTGCACAGATGTTTGTATCTATATATATATATACATACATATACATATATATAAATACAGTATATATACATATATATGTATATAGCTAACAACCTCCAGCTGAACGCATCCAAAACATGTCAACTGGTCTTTGATTTCAGTCGCAATAGTTCTCATTTGCCTGTCGTAATCGACAACTCCCAGGTGCAGATCGTAGAGGAGCAAGTTTCTGGGTTTAACTCTGTCTAACCTGAATGGGTTAAAAACACTGACGGAGTCGTAAAGAAAGCTCGTCAGCGTCTCTACTTCCTGCGGAAACTTAGAGAATTTACCACTATCTCTAAGATTGTGCTGAACTTTTATGGCTGCACCATTGAGAGTTTACTTGTTGGTTCTGTGTCTGTGTGGTTTGGAAACATCACAGATAAAGAAAAGAGAGCTTTAAACAAGGTGCTCCGCTCTGCAAAGAGGACCGTGGGCTGTGAGCTTCCTGTTCTGGAGGTTCTTTATAAATCCAGACTTTTTAACAGTGCCCTGAGAATTATCAATGACTCTTCTGGCCACCCAGGAAAAGCCTTGTTCCAGCTTCTTCCCTCTGGCAGAAGATACTGTTCTCTGAGATGCAGGACATCTCGTTATGCTAATAGTTTTTTTCCACGAGCTGTTATCAGTTTGAATAGAGCACTTTAATGTTTTTGCACTTGTATAGATCTGTTTTAAGTTGGTCAACTTCACAGTGACATTTGTTTACTGTTTTTAAAATTTGTTTTATTTTTTTCTTTTAATGTTGTTTTGTGTCTGTACTTGTCCTGTGCACACTGGGAACTTTTACAAATGTATTCCAATGTAGTGTTACTGCAAATGGCGAAATAAATTAATCTGAATCTGAATATATATATATATACATATATCCTGAGAGCCTTTTGACAAGATTTCCATGGTTTTCAATGGCAGCAGACAGAGTTGTCCCTGCTCATAACTACAGACAGTAATGTCTGTACTTTATGTCAAATGTGTCACTAACTCACCCTTTGTTTTCATCATGACACATGTGAGTCCAACAACCCATGAAAAGCACTAGCATACAGCGCCGCCGCAAGGAGTCAGCCTCTTCAGGAGCCGCTTCAGGAGCCGCTTCAGGAGCCGCTTCAGGAGCCTCTTCAGGAGCCGCTTCAGGAGCCTCTTCAGGAGCCGCTTCAGGAACCTCTTCAGGAGCCTCTTCAGGAGCCGCTACAGGAGCCGCTTCAGGATCCTCTTCAGGAGCCTCTTCAGGAGCCTCTTCAGGAGCCTCTTCAGGAGCCGCTACAGGAGCCGCTTCAGGAACCTCTTCAGGAGCCTCTTCAGGAGCCGCTACAGGAGCCGCTTCAGGATCCTCTTCAGGAGCCTCTTCAGGAGCCTCTTCAGGAGCCTCTTCAGGAGCCGCTACAGGAGCCGCTTCAGGATCCTCTTCAGGAGCCTCTTCAGGAGCCGCTACAGGAGCCGCTTCAGGATCCTCTTCAGGAGCCTCTTCAGGAGCCGCTTCAGGAGCCTCTTCCGGAGCCTCTTCAGGAGCCTCTTCAGGAGCCTCTTCAGGAGCCGCTTCAGGAGCCTCTTCCGGAGCCTCTTCAGGAGCCTCTTCAGGAGCCTCTTCAGGAGCCTCTTCAGGAGCCGCTTCAGGAGCCTCTTCAGGAGCCGCTTCAGGAGCCTCTTCAGGAGCCTCTTCAGGAGCCTCTTCAGGAGCCGCTTCAGGAGCCTCTTCCGGAGCCTCTTCAGGAGCCGCTTCAGGAGCCGCTTCAGGAGCCTCTTCAGGAGCTTCTCTTCAGGAGCCTCTTCAGGAGCCTGAACATACACACACACACACAGACACACATACACACACACACACACACACAGAGACACACACTCACAGACACACACACACTCACAGACACACACACACACACAGACACACACACACACACACAGAGACACACACTCACAGACACACACACACAGACACACACACACTCACAGACACACACACACAGACACACACACACACACACACAGACACACACACAGACACACATACACACACACACACACACACAGAGACACACACTCACAGACACACACACACACAGACACACACACACACACACAGAGACACACACTCACAGACACACACACACAGACACACACACACACAGACACACACACACACACACTCACACACTCACACACACACACACACACACACACAGAGACACACACTCACAGACACACACACACAGACACACACACACTCACACACACACTCACACACTCACACACACACACATACACGTTTTTGTTACCTGGTGGGTCCCTTTGACAGGGCCGTTCAGAATGGGACCCATAGACATAATCTTTTTTTACCAAGACTTTAAGTAATACAAAACAGTCAATAGAAACCAAACAACTATTTTAAAGGAATTTTATTTTAGATTTTGTTTTCGAATTGCAGTGATTCTATTTTTGACATAGAATTTAATGCCACTCCATGTCCGATGTCTAAGGTCATCTGGTGAGGCATTAATGCAGGCAGGCAGTGAGACTTCCCAGGGACCTTTCCAGTCTGTATGAAAGGTGTCATGGTCTTCTCCACAGCCTTCACCTCAGATGCAGACCATGGCTTTCTTACACGTTCTAGGGAGAGAAATAAAAATATATTAGCAATATACACTCCCAGGGTGAGGACCAAGCAGCCTGGCTGTAATCCCCCACCTGGTACACTTACCAGAAGGGGCACTGCCACTACCATGGGGTGCATCTGGATGAATGGTTGAAGGTTCTCCGCTTGAAGTTTCTTTTAGCCCGTCCGTTTGTGAGAGGATCTCTACTGCTCTCCCTGTCGCACAGAAAATAAAAATACAAGTGGCCTTTAGGGGAAAAAAATCATACATATTTTAATAATATCAAGAATTACCTTCAGGCTCAATTTGTATCTGGTCGAGGCTCTTTCCTTCGAATTCCGTCACTCTTCCCTGCTCCATGGCCATCAACACTTTGCTGATTTTGGCCAGCTCCAGTGTCCCCTCTGGTAGTCTGTAATATTGCCTGTGGATGCGAATGTCATGGCCGAGGAAGTTGGCAAGTATGTCCATCTCATTCTCTTTCATATTGAGAACTGTAGACATAGTAGCTATGTGCTTTCTAAGTTTGGTTGAGGATAGCATCTCTGGATGCACCGCACCACATTCTTTGGCTACCTGGCGTAGGGAGTCTGATCCCCTGATGTGGGTGTCTGCGCCCGGGCGGGAAAAGAAGTATGGGTTATGGTCAGAGATGGAACAGGCCCTTCTGTTCTCCACCAGCACCTCCATCGAAGCAATCATTTCAGGAGTCAAAAGAACCGGCACTTTCCGACTTCTTTTCCCTTTAATTTCAATGCGTTGAAAATGCTGACACAGCTTTTTCTCAAGTTGGGACAGTCCCAGAGCAATGTCAGAATGGATCCCAGTCTTACTTCTTAAGGTAAAGGCTGTCAGTGGCATCTTTGAAACCTCACCTTCCCTTCTTCGATTGAAAATGATGACCTCACAAAGAGTCAAAACTGCCAGTTTAGACCAATGCTTAGACGTTGGCTCACTTATTAGGGTTTGCACATATTCAGGTCGACATACCTCAATATGTGCATGCATGGCTCTAACGTCCTCAGTCAGAGGGAGCAGGTCCGGAGTGTTCCACTTGGCTTGCCGGAGGGTCTGTAGGGCAGCAGAAGAAACACAGACGTCCCACCTCTTCTCAAAAAGCAGCCGGCTTCGTTGGAGGTTTTTAATAAATAGTTCATCAACACAATGCTCCATTTTTGAGTCACATTCAAGAATATCTGCTAGCTTTCTGAGGCTATGGCCGAGTTTGAGGGCCAAGGATGGAGTCTTGTATTGATTTGTTTCCTCATCATATCCAGCCACAGACCTGACTGCATCAATCACATGGTTAAAGTTGGAAGGAATAAAGAAATCCTTAATTGTTTTCAGTTTCCCTGCGGTTTTTGCTTCGTTAATTAACCTACCGACTTCTCTCATTTTCTGCCTAATGTAATCATGCTTAGTCTTATCATGCCCGTGTTTTAAGTACAGGTGCTCTCCGAGTCTCAGAATCCCCTTTTCTGCTTTGACAACACCCGTGACCTCATCCTGATGCATTGCCCAAAATTAAAGACCACAGCTTTTTGCTGATGCCCTCCGGTACAGGCTGGGCTAGGGAGCAGAGGGACTGGACCCTACTTCTACCTGGTTTAGCCTGGTTTAGCCTGGGCATCTTTCTGTGAAAGCCGGCACCTGGCCACATGCCTCCACAGCGACTTTCGCTTAAGCAATGCCCCACAGTCTATACAGTGCAAAAACTCACTGGATTTAACTGGGAATTTGGCTGTTTAGCTGGGACTAAAGTTCCAATGCCGGCCTTTAAAACCTCAAAATTGTGCTCACGGTTTCCACTATTCCTGATCAAATCAAACTGAAGTTTACGTGCTTTAGATTTCACAGGTAGAGCCAATGCTCTGGCTACGTCACTTTCATTTCCATGTTTTCTAGTCAAATGACGGGACATTTTGTGGCAGGACATTGAACAGTAGAGGCAGAAGTGTCTCTTGCTGTATACTCGCCCCCCATTTTTCTTCTTTTGCAGCTGCATGATAACAATCTTATTTGCCTTTGGTTCGTCACTTTCCGAGTCTTGAAGAAAAGTGTTTTTGATTTTTCTTTTTCCATACTTTTTTACAGGTTTCTTCTTGACAGTTAAATCGTCAGAATCTGAGTCGACTTCATCAATTAGGGACTCTTGACTAAGCTGCACAAACAACAAATAATTTGTAATCATTCTATATAACAATTTGAAGTCATGACTTGTAGTCAGCACTTACCAGTGGTTTGTAAGCGTGCGCTTCAGTGTGCTCCTCCATGATTTCTTGCAGCCTAATGAACCACACACTTGCACCTTTTTCTAGCCTGACACCTGATTTCCTCTGTTGTGCTCTGCTCCATGATTGGCTCCAGCCTGCTGGACTGAAATTGCCCCAGTGTGCCCCTCCTTGATATCCCGCAACCCACCACCAGGGTTCCGACACATAACACACTTTTTTCAGGAAAGTAAACCTCCAGGGGTCCTTTCCATATTTTTACAGAGACTGCATAAGGACCGTTAGAAAAGCATTACCCATTGATTATTAAGCTTGGACCAGTGGGGTCCGGTGTTCGGGCCCCACCACGTAAAACCAGTCCCCATGACGTGAGTGGAATCTCAGGTTATGGAACCCACCAGGAGTTGAAAACAAGTGCACACACACACACACTGAAGGTTAAATATAGTCTGTGCAGGATATAATTATACAATAAAAAAGGATAAAGCAGTGTTGTTTTCTTCAGTCCTACTGCATCAGTGACTTAGAGTGACTCGTTGTACAGTCTGACAGCGTGGGGATAAAGCAGTGTTGTTTTCTTCAGTCCTACTGCATCAGTGACTTAGAGTGACTCGTTGTACAGTCTGACAGCGTGGGGATAAAGCAGTG